AGCAGGAAAATGACTTAGACTGGAAAGATAATCCCACGAATTTTACTGTACATGTAGCAATATGTCGCGCAGGCTCATTGGGGTCTTAGAATATCCTCGACTTTTTCGGGAAGAAGATAAAAAATATTAATCTATCATAATACGCTAAAACCAATGTCGTTGTCCACAGTAACCACGACGAAGAACGCAACGTCGATTGCCCTCGAGCTTTCGCTTCGACAAAGACTACGACGACGACGACAAAGTTGTTATTCACATATCGAGCCCAAAATGTCGGTCTGCGTTGTCGGAAGACCAACCACTCCAATCGTTGTAGGACTGTCTCAACCAAAGAACGTGACCAAACCCGCGAAAGTTAATGGCAGAAACCGATATGGGAATTTTTTGACGCCTTAAACGCTATGCATTCTGCTCACACATCCAGCCCCTTTGAGTAAGTGCCCTTTCCGTGTGCATAACATGTGTCTAGGCACTTTTGTCGAGGGGAATGTTGAAAACGCTAAGCGGAAATTGGTCGTTACAAAAAAATCGAACAGTGTGCTGTGTTGATACCTGCCCTAGATTTCGACGGCGCATCTGAGTGTGTTTTTCCTTTTTACCTTTTCCTTTTACTTATCAGAGCTTTCCGCACTTGGTAATTGATTTTCGTCTAATGCCAACCCTGGAAATCAGATTGTAACGGAAATTGCGAAATGCCTTTTCGACTCGAAAAGATGATTTAAGTGGGTTTGCGACATTAATCACCGTGAAGCATAATCCCATGATTTTTCAGTTACTGTAGACTTCCGGCTTTTGATTGAACTTCCTTTCAGCCGCTTGTGAAAAATAGATTCCTTAAAAATAACTACATATGCAGAAAGAATCGTCCTCATTCATTTTCAATTTCCTTACAAATTCAATCACATTGCGTAGAAAACATGGATAAACATATTTATGCTTTTAATCACCAGGTAGAAAAACACGTCCTCTTCAAATTTTACATTTAAAAGAAGGGTACAATTCGGTTTTAAAAACCTTTCCGATTCCTGAATAATTATGAACCCGACCTGCCTTTGCATTTGCATTCAAGGTTTCTGTGGACAGAAAATAATAAATTTCTCTATGGTATGAAGAGGAGACTATTAAAGGTTCATAAAATGTAGCAGTGGATTTAAGCCATAATGTAAACTTTGCAACCAACATTTGCAAATGCAGGGACACGATGTTTTACGAAAAGGGGGTTTCATGGTCTTTAAAATCGCATGATGAGGAACTTATTAACGCTCTTTTTCAAACAAAATATTTTAAGAAGATGTATTTTTTATCAAATGACTATAAGAACGAATATTTTTGTGCATGATTTCTGTAAAATATGTTTGAATTCATAAGGACATTGAAAATCAATTTTGAGTTATGAGTCCAACTCACTAACCACTGAACCACGGGCTCGCTGTCCTATCGGTTGCGATCGGGTGCATATAGTAGGTGGGCTAACTCAAGAAATGTCAACTGAAATTCCGAAATGCGTTTTCGTTTCGAAAAGATTAATTAAGTAGGTTTGTAAAACTAGTCAGCCTGCAGCATAATTCCATAATAACTCAGTTTTCTCAGATGCCCGCTTTCCAACGACCTTACTTCTGGCTCCATGCACCCACCACACTCTGTAAAAATGACTACTTAATTATTGTGGCATTTCCCCTTGATATTCAATGCCCTTGAACATTCATATATATTTTATTAAAAAAATGCATAAAATATTCATTTCCTTACTCATTCGGTAGTTGAATACCTCCTTTCTCGATATTATAATCGAAAGAATGGTATAATTCGGTTTAAAAAATCGTTTCTAATTCCCAAATAATTTTCAATCCGCCTTGCCGTTACACTTAAATTTAGGGTTTCCAACCTACAAGCCGTATATTTTCCACGTACAGAAAACCAAATATTTCTCTACGGTATTAAGGGGGGCCATATGGGGTTGATAAAATTTAGCAGTGGATTTGATCCATATTGTTAACTTTAAAAGTCATATTGGTAAATGCAAAGAGAAGGTTGTTAATGAACGGCCATTCCACGGTAATAAAAAATCTCACAATTAGAAACTTTTTAAAAGCGAACCATGTACATCCATCGAGTATAAAATTATAAGAAGTCGTATCTAGCTGCAGAATGAGCGATATAATGGATATTTTAATGCGTGTTTTCCATGCAATAGGATTGGACTTTTAGGGGCATCGAAAATCGATGGGAAAATTCCTGCTAATTAAGTGGTAATTTTTACTGAGTGTTGATTTTGCATGCAACAGGAAGGAAGTTCGTTCGAAAGCCGGCCTCCTAGTTTAACTGAAATATTATAGAATTATGTTGCAGTCTGACTGGTTTTACAACCCTACTTAATTAACCTTTTCGAAATCAAAACGAATTTCGAAATTTCGGTTGACATTTCATGAGTTTGCCCACCTACTATACAGCGGTAGGAGGGGGCTCACCGACCGCCCATGCTATTCCGCCTATAGCACGCGCCGCTGTGCGGCTGCCAGGGGGGGATTCGAGAGAGAGCCCCAAGGTTCGATGGAACAATTAATTGCAATATCGCGATCGGTGAGCGACCGCCTAGCAAAGTGGTATGTTTGCGATTAATTATACCAAACCTATTTATGTGTCACGGACAGGCCTTATAAAAACTACCATTCTCATAAAGAAATCAAGTAAAATCCTGTTTACCCTATTCAGACGCATCATCATTAATGCGGAAGCCAGTCGTCACACTTAAAATTACATTAATTTTTAAAGGGCACTTGGACGTAACCTTCCCTAAACTATTGTTGTCAAATATTATTTTATTTGCGTTGTCATCTTCACTAATTGTTTTTCACGGACAGGCTTTCTTTATACCGAATATTGAAGGTTCACTAAATTACAACCAATTTTATTATTCTCGGGATTTTCCGTTGTTCTTAAAAATAATATTTCTAAACAACACAACGCTGTCTTTGTTATCCGCTTCACGTTTTCAATTCCCCTAGAGTTGTTCTTTATAAATATAGTGCTTAGGTGCATGCATTGCTGTCGGTTTTTGAATGACTGACAGTCATTCTTTACTTTTGATGCCTTGCATCTGTAGAAATCCCAAAATCGGCGAACATGAGGCGTTATTACTTCATGCGGAGTCTGCTGGCGGTCCGAATGTTTGTTGTCTCCCGCCTTAGTAAAGTGCACGGTTGCTTTTGCCAGCTTCCATAAATTAAGGTCTAGCGCCCCAAGCGAGAATAAGCCCTCCGTCTGTGGTACGCGGCACCGCGCTAGGAATTGTGGGGTCGTGACTTGTGGTGTTTAAAGTAGTGAGTGAACGCACAGCACCACAGTAATTACGATCCAGTCCCGCCTAGAAGAGAAGTATGGGAAAGACAACGGCAGAGGCTTATGTACAATGTACTGTTGTTTCGCCAACTTCTATAGATTAAGGTATAGCGCCTCAACCGGCATTTTTGCTATTGTTGATAACGACGTTGATGCCGAAGACTTACGTGTTGCCATAAACAGTCGCCATCCTAAGATTAAATTCACAATGGAAAAGAAGCAGTGTAACACGCTTTCTTTGCTGGATGTCCTCATGACTAGACAGGAGGATGGTTTAATAATCTGGTCTGTTTTCCACAAGGAAACAGGGAAAGGCCAGTACCTGCATTTCTTGAGCATTGTGCCGATAAAACGAAAGCGAAATTTGGTTTACACTCTAGTCCAAAGGACAAGAAACATTTGCTCCATTGAAACACTAGATGATGAAACTTCTTGCCTCAAAACAGCCCTGCTTAAACCAGGATATCCAATACGATTCAACGAAAAGTATTGCAGCACTTTACGGCCAAAATTGAGGGGGCAATCAGTTCCAAAAAAGCCCGTTGTTATATTATTACACTTTAAGTACGAAAACATCTCAAATACCATCAAGCGGCGATTGGCATACGCCATTGAAAGAACATACGACTCAACTGAACTCATCTTCTACAGTCCTACTAAGACTGTCTAAGTTCCCCGGGCGAAGGATGCCTTGCCGTTGCACGTCACGTCAAATTGTGTTTACGAATTTATTTGCAATTGTGGATGCAAGTACATTGGGCGAACGCAAATGCAACTGGCAGCCAGGTCAGTTGAGCACCTGCCTAAATGGCTTCTAAAGCAGGAGAATAAGATTCCACGGTCTTCTATTACAAAGCACCTCCTCGATAGCGGACATTCGGTTGAATCCAAAACATCTGCCCGAGTATTAGTTCGGGCACGAACGACTCGGTTAGTGCGCTACCTGGAGGCAGCCTACATGCGGCGGGAGAAACCCGGCCTATGCAACCAGTTAGACCACGTGATCCATCTTGTAGACCCCAGTGGTGGACCAGCTGCGCCAGGTGTGTCTGAGCGCATGTTTGTGTTTCCGGTACCAGCCGGTGGTCAGAGTTATGATTGGCTGAATGAAGGCAAACAAGCCGGAAACAGTGCTGTATCAATCTACCCCCAGACTCTGTCGTCTCCCCTCTGCTAGCATAGCTTGGCCGACTTCGGCCTGGTAGGTGGTTGCCTGTTCGTGACCCCTATCGCCCATACGAAGCTTGTTTGCTTCGGGAAGACAATGGATCGGTGTGCGCCCATTCCTGAGGGAATGAGTCGGTGTCACCTTATCAACATATACCACTAGTCGCTGTGCGACTGCCTGCGAGGGTTTAAGTATGAGCCCCAAGGCACAACAGAACGAGCATGTTCTGTAACCTGATCAGTGAGCGCCCATCTGTCATATATGTATATATATATATATATATATATATATATATATATATATATATATATATATATATATATATATATATATATGGATATAGGCGAAAATGCCGACCCCAGGTATTGAGATCGAAGAAGGTAAAGAGATCTCTGGGGAGGATGATTTATTCATCTGACGTTTCACACTCATACTTGAGCGCATCATCGGAGATAGATTAAAAGTGGGAATACAAGGTTTAAATAGGTCTTTCTTACTCACTACTGATAGGTCCATTGTTCTCTCTCCCTATTGGCCCTCCTTTCCTGCCCAAGTGGTGTCTGACGGCCTCGTATGGCGCCGGTAGGTCGATCCTACGGTTGATCGAGTTGGCGTTGGATTGCCAGGCTTCGATTATCTCCCTCGCCATTTTGCTTTCAGCCCGACCGATTACTTCTGCCTTGTCGAAGCCGAAATAATGGTTATTTTCCAGGCTATGCATAGCAACATGTGATCGCACATCTTTTCGCTTTACAGCTAGAGAATGCTCATGCATGCGCGACCTTAATCGTTTGTCGGTCATGCCACAATAGTTGGCCGGACAGTCTAGACAGTTGACGCAGTAAACAATTCCTGACGTGTCCTCAGGTGGTAGCCGCCCCTTAGGCTGCATGAGCAAGCGGCGGATAGTGACCTCCGGCCGGTGTCCAAGGCCGACGTGGAGTGGTCTGAGCATGCGTTCAGTGGCTTCGGAAACGTCACTCACGTAGGGCAAAGCACGGAAGATTTCAGGCTTTTGTTTTTGTTCACCGGCGGTCTTCGTGTGCCTTTGATACAGGCATTTGTTTATGAAGCAACGTGGGTACCTATTGGAGAGACAGAGACGCCATAGGGATTTACGCTCTCGCAGCTTTTCAGCCTCTGTGCTGCAGTGTGTGTTGATGCGTAGGAAGAGCGTCCGCACGCAGCTGCGTTTATGTGACAAGGGGTGGTTACTGCTGCAATGGAGGATTTTCGCCGTATCAGTTGCCTTTCGAAAGACACCAGTGTGGAGGGCCCCGTCTTCCTGTATCGACACCTGGACATCCCGAAAGGGGATTTCTCCGTCCTTTTCTTCCTCCATTGTGAATTGAATTTGGGGGAAGATTGAGTTCAATTTGTTTTTGAACGTCTCTTTCATGTCTCGAGGTAGAATGACAAAGGTGTCATCGACGTAGCGCTTCCAGAATTTTGGCATGTAGGACTGAAAGACCCGCGTTTCCAGTTCTTGTAGAACCGCCTCAGCTAGGTAGCCGGAAATTGGTGATCCCATTGGAGTTCCCTGGATTTGCTCGTACACCTGACCATTAAACGTAAAGTACGTGCTCAAACAGTATTCCAGTAGCTCCATTATGTGCTTCCTTTTCAGAGGTCTTTCCTCTTCATCGTACCTCCTCTGCAGTAGGTCACTTATGACCGTCGTGGCTAATTCTTTAGGGATGGAGGTGAAAAGAGAGACAACGTCGAATGACACCATTATTTCGTCAGGGGCTATTTTGACGCCTCGGACTCTTTCCAGGAAGTGTGTTGGGGATATAGCGGTGTGTTCTGAGCCTTCCGTCAGCTTCTTCAGATGTTTGGTAAGCCACTTAGCCAGACCGTAGGCAGGTGTGCCATTCAGCGCCACAATTGGCCGTAAGGGAACGTTTGGTTTGTGGATCTTTGGCAGAACATAGAAGCGTGCTATAGCAGCATCTTGTGGTTTCATCTGTCGCCAATCGGTCTCGGATATTGCCTGTTGATTCCTCATCAGACTCAGACTCTTGTTGATTTTTGCCACCAGTGTTTTCATGGGGTCAGAGGTAAATGCCATTAAGGAATTAAAGAGGGACGAAGAAATTGTGATTGTCCCAGCAGACAAAGGACGGGCAGCCGTGATCCTGGACAAGTCCGACTACGTAGCGAAAGCTCAGGAGCTACTCAACGATAACCAGTCATACAGAGTCGTTGACTCTGACCCCATGAAAACACTGGTGGCAAAAATCAACAAGAGTCTGAGTCTGATGAGGAATCAACAGGCAATATCCGAGACCGATTCCTATAAATATAGCAGGAACTTAAAGTGCTAGCAGGTATAAAAAGCAGACAAAAGTTCGACCGTCGTGACCGAAGATGTCCCCTGTGTGTTTCGCAACAGGGACGGTAACTTGCGCGTGACCTAGCCTAAAGTGACGGTAAACTTGCTCAGCATCTACCTCAACCCCCTCCTTCCCCACCGCGACCCTGTGTCAAGACAGAGCCAAGGAGACAGGAGGCGGGAGCGGACGTAAGACCGTGACGCAGCCGAACACCCGCAACTGGGCGCACCACTACTCTCTCTGGTTCACAACGTACGCAGGAATAAACAGGGGCTGGCTTGGCTTTTAAGGCACCTTGATATTCTCAAGCGCGTCAGATTGTTTGTAGTAAGGGATTATGCGCTCAGGGGGTCGATCTCACCCTCCCAGACACCAGTTCACTGTCAGAACCGGTCGGCTGTCTGACCTGGGATTAGGTGCAGTGGACGACAGAGCTAGGGAGTTCGTCTCCGCGCGCCCCACGTACGACCCGGTCTCCATACGCACACGCACACACGAGGGGAACAGACCGCTCAGACGTCACACACACACAACGGGGAAGCCTCCTGGAGAAATGAGTCAAATGGCACACTCCTCACCTACGTGAGAGGTGCCGGTGATGTGTGATCGGGTACATTAAGAATGACATAGGGGTGCGCACCAATCGCGTTATGGAATCCACTTGTCGCGTTGTTCTTTAGGGATCCCTCTTGAGCCCGCCAGCAGCCGTACAGCTGCCGGCTACCCCTAGGGAATCCACAGGACACCTATTTATTTCTGCTTTCATAATGCCTCCGAGCCCTAAACGCCTTTTCCTTGTACGCTTTTAGCCTCCATTAAATAGCCCCACCATACGGTTACTCAAAGTGAGCACTTCGGTTTGTCCACCGGAAGGAATTAACGCTTCTGACCGCGAACACAACCACGACCTCGTCGTCATTGTGAAATCAGCCGTCTACAACTTCGAGGACAGACAAAACTTTCGCAGATTCTACGCCAATCTGCGAAACGAGAGCGGCGCTAAACTGCCTTATCGCATAGGAGTAGTGTTCGTGGTGGGCCTGCCAATAAGCGCAAGCAGCAATTCCTTCCAACGCGATGGTTTCAACATCTCACTGCCCGGTCGCGCCGGCAACTCGCTCGTCAACATTGTAAACCGCCGCGCCCAGATTCGAACTCGCCTAGAGCAGGAGATGCGTGAACACGATGATCTCATCGTGGGCGACTTCGAGGACACCTACTATAATCTGTCTCTGAAGATGCATCACACCTTCGTGTGGGCGGCCAGGTTCTGTCGCGAACGTCCTGCCTTCATGTTCCTCGACGATGACATTGGTTTCAATGAGAAGCGCCTCCAGACCGTTCTGTCCAGTCTGCCGGTGGATTGGCGGCGCAGAGATTCCATTTCGAATACTCACTGGAATAGTCCCACCGTGCGTCCTACCGATTCTCCTGCATATCGGAAGTGGGCACTGTCGAAGCGGGAGGTTCCGTGGCCAGTGCATGCGCCCTACAGCAACGGTTACTTTTACATGCTTGGTTACGATCACGTGGCGGATCTGGCGTTGGCCATGTCCTTCACCAAGAGCCTTCCCATTGACGATGTCTGGTTGGGTCTGGTGATGCATAGGATTGGCCTCCATTTCAACTTACCAACTGGGATCACCAGCTCCATGAAGCATCAAGCCAATGTCAGCGGGTATATTGTTTTACCCCTTAATTCCCTTCTCAGTGCATCGACGCAAAAGCAACTGTAGGACAGATCGATTGAAAAAAAATGCTGGTAGTCATGACAACCAGGGAAAAACACCTTCCAGAAACCCTAAAGACGACGTCTGCATGTCCTTGTTGTAACTTCAACACGTTTTGGTCGCTTTTTATACATCATCGCGTACGAGTTTTGCTCTTCGAATGGTTGTTTGTAACTGATTGAGTAAATCCCTGAAAATTTCCTCAAGTCAGCTCCGTTTTGCTAAACCTTTCATGTGTGTATTTTACAAAAAAATGATCATTCGTCGATGAATTGGACGATGCATTTCTCGGTGCTGTGCGAAACGAAGGCGAATCCAATGAAACGATGCCTAGCCTCTGCTGTGCGCCCGCTATGAGGCTGCTGGTTGGGCTCGAGAAGAGCCCTTAAGGCACAACGGAACGAGTGAGTTCCGTATCCACGATCGGTGAGCACCCCCTAACATTGTGTATTCCCGATCGAAAACCGACAGGGCAACGGGCTCATTGCCCGGTGGGTAGAGGCGTGGACTTCTAAACCTACAGGTCGCGAGTTCGAGGCTCGGATGTTTTACACTTCGGGCTTGGGTATGGCTGGCTGACGACGGCTTATAAGTCGGAAATGGCCATTTCAGTCTCCCTTGTCTTTGTCGGTAATACCATTCTGCCTATATATCATGCGCCGCTGTGCGGCTGCTGGTTGGGCTCGAGATGGATTTCTTTGAGAAAATACAAAACGTGTTGTGTAGATTTCCGAGATTGGTTCTCCAGCTCGTCTTAGGACTATGAGTGTACAAAAGCACTTAACTTCTAGACTGAGTCTAACAAAGGATTTCATGATTGGTTAAAGTCTGCATCAATGCGTGCTATTTGCAATTTCTCACCTCCAGGGAATTTGTTGGACCAGTCTGAATCCGTCCTAAACGATTTTCTGTGTAGTATCTAGATCGAGTTGGGGAACCAGTCTCGAAAATCTACACAATAAAGTTTACAGTCTTCCGAAAAATTCTGTCCTTCTTATTAGATTTCTTAGGATACCTGTTTTTCAGTTCATACATACATATGATAGAGAGGTGTTCACTGATCGTTTTTTACGGAACTCACTCGTCCCGTTGAGCCTTAGGGCTCTCTATCTAGCCCAACCAGCTGCCGAATTGCGGAGCGGGAGATAGGATCGAGTCCCACTTCAGGGTTCGGTGTGACTGCCTGGCGACGGCTAATGAGCCCGAAATGGGCATTCCAGTCTCCATGGTTTTGCTGATAACGTATTTCTGCCTTAAGGGCTCTCTCTCGAGCCCAACCAGCAGCCGCACAGCGGCGCATGATATATAGGCAGAATGATATTACCGACAAAGTCAAGGGAGACTGGAATGGCCATTTCTGGCTTATTAGCCGTCGTCAGCCAGCCATACCCAAGCCCGAAGTGTGGAACACCCGAGCCTCGAACTCGCGACCTATTGGTTTAGAAGTCAACGCCTCTACTCACCGGGCCACGAGCACGTTGCCCTGTCGGTTTTCGATCGGGAATACACAATGTTAGGGGGCGCTCACCGATCGTGGATACGGAACTCACTCGTTCCGTTTTGCCTTAAGGGCTCTCTCTCGAGCCCAACCAGCAGCCGCACAGCGGCGCATGATATATAGGGAGAATTATATTACTGACAAGGACAAGGGAGACTGGAATGGCCATTTCTGGCTTATTAGCCGTCGTCAGCCAGCCATACCCAAGCCCGAATGTGTGCTAACTCATGAAATGTTAACGGAAATTCCGAAAGTCTTTTCGACTCGAAAAGATGTTTGAGTGGGATTGTAATAATAATTGTCATGTTGGCTTTGGAAAGAACTTCTTTTCGGTCGCCTGCAAAAATTGCGCTCGGTAAAAAAAGAACTACTTATGTAAAATGAAATTTTTTCCTTGATTTTCTGTTAACTTATAACTTCAAATATATGTCATAGAAAATATGCACACAAATATTCATTGTATTAATTTTGTGGAAAATTACGTCTTTTTCAAATTTCATACTAGAATGAACGTTATAATTCGCTTTTAAAATTTTTTTCCAATTTCCGAATAATTTCGAACTCGTCATGCTGTTACTTTTGCTTTCAGGGTTTAAAAACTACAAGCTGTATATTTTTCGTGTACGAAAAACCACTCATTGATCTACCGTTCTAAGATAGACCGTATACATTTGTCAGTGAACTTGAACCATATTGTCAACTATACAAGCAATATTAGTAAATGAAGAGACATTTCGCGGTCTTAGAAAACCTCATAGACAGAAACCGTTTTAAAGACCAAATTGTAGCCCCCCGTCAAGTATGAACTTTGTAGGTGTAATTTTCTACTAAAAGTGGGAAAGAATGGTTAGTATCATGCATGTTTCCTACGAAATGTATTTGAATTCATAGGGGCATTGAAAATCAATGAGTAATATCCACACCAATTAAGTAGTCTTTTTTACAGATGTGTAGATTTTGCAGGCGGCCGAATAGAAGTTCGTGCAAAAGCCGGTATCGCAAAGAAGTCGGAATACCTTGAGACTATGCTACATACTAATGAATATTCCACTCCTACTTAAGTCATCTTTTCGAGTCGAAATGACATTTCACAATTTCGGTCAAAATTTCATGTGTTAGCTCATCTACGGTATGTGATTGATGTTCTGAAAATTGTTTACTGCTGATCTTACAGTGCGCTCTTAAGCGTTGTTGCTTACAATTTTTTGTGCCCAATCAGGCCTATGCCCACATGTATTCTGTAGTCCCAGCGCAGAATACGTGAAAGTCGGTGTAATCTGCTGAGGTCTAGAGGGAATTCCGGGGTATTGCGGAAGGTCAAGGGGCATCTGGATTTGCTCTGGCAACGAACACACACGCAGTTCTATATGACCTTGAGAGGAACAATTTTTGCAAATGCGGCTTCTATTTCCAGTCACGCTTCCCAGTCCCTAGGAAATACGATTTTTGACCCAACTCCTTTGAGATGACGTTGGAGACTGAGGCGAGAATTTCTAGGCAGTAGAACGTTGGACATTGTACTCATTCGCATAGCTCCTTCAAACAAAATATCCGATTTTCTTTTTGAACATGCGTCTAAGTAATTTTATCAGCGAAAATGATTAGAAGTTTGACCATAAATTGACCAAACACATGTTTTGGCAGTTTTTGACGTTAATGGCCGTTTCTCTGACTTAGAGAGAGAGAGTGAGAGAAAGAGAGAGAGAGGGATTCCCTATATTTTAAAATAGCAAATTCAAAATTTCCAGCAAAATTGGCTCCATTCACTATGGGCAGTAAAAAAGTTAATAGATTATCCAGGAGTCAAAAAGGTTAACATATAAATAATTATTATTATGATGACAGTTAAAGTCTCACGATGATCTCATCGCGGGCGACTTCGAGGACACCTACTACAATCTGTCTGTGAAGATGCATCACACATTCGAGTGGGCGGCCAGGCTCTGTCGCGCACGTCCTGCCTTCATGTTCCTCGACGATGACATTGGTTTCAATGAGAAGCGCCTCCAGACCGTTCTGTCCAGTCTGCCGGTGGAGTACTCGAGTACTCGCTGGAATAGTCCCACAGTGCGTCCCACGGACACTCCGGCCGTCCGAAAATGGGCACTGTCGAAACGGGAGGTTCCGTGGCCAGTGCATGCGCCCTACAGCAATGGATACTTTTACATGCTTGTTTACGATCACGTGGCGGATCTGGCTTTGGCCATGTTCTACACTAAGCGCATTCCCATTGACGATGCGTGGTTGGGTCTGGTGATGCATAGGATTGGTCTTCAGTTCGAGTTGCCAGCTGGGATCGTGTACTCGTTAAAACATCGGGAAAATGTCACCTGCTATATCGCCTTGCCCCTCCAATCTCTCCTGAGCACATACATGCGAGGACAACTGTAGTGGAATTTCGGTATGGCGATATTTGCATCCATGGCTACCAAGCAAAGTAATCCCTCAAAAACCCCATAAGCATCGTCCGCGTGTCCATACGACGTCTTCCTCTTCTTTAGCTTATTTTGGTGCGTTAAATGACTACGATTTTAGTGATTATGCGGACTGCGAAATGGTCTTGCCAATCTGATATTCTGCACCAGGTAACACATCGCGCTATACCTAATTTAGATCTGTCTATTTCATTAAGTCCTGTATATATGCTTTAAGTGAAACCGAATACTTATTAATACTATGTGAATGTGGTCATTTGGTCATAACAATTGGCGATAACCAACCTCATTGCAGCTCTACAATTATTTCCCCGCTCGTCTTGGCCATGTGTCTTTCGATGTGGTGGATTCGAATAAACATCCAAGAAAATAAGACTTGACTATAAATATGCGCTGAAAAATGAATGCATGGCGCATGTTCTACGACTGCATTCCGGCAAGCTCTATCACTAAGTCCTTTGTCGTGTTCGCTGGGTTCATCGTTGTTCTATGTGTTGAATGCGTCCTGACATCTACTGCCTGTTATATCAGAGTCCTCTGCGCAGCCCAAGACTACAGCCCTCTGAATTTCGTTCCTTCCTTTACAAAGGCGGAAGCAAGGTCTTGGCAAACAGCTATAGAACAATCAGCCTTACTTTAATTTGCTAGAAATAATGCGCTTCTTAGAACATCATAATCTGCTATGCGATGCCCAGCACGGATTTTGTAGAGGCAGATCATGCGTGACAAACTTTATTGTTAAGAACGCTGGACCCGGGCAGTCGATGGCGGCAATGCAGTGCACGCAGTCTACGTCGATTTTATGAAAGCATTAGACAGTGTACCACATCAGCGTCTCCTGTACAAATTAAGCCGAACAGGCATAAGGACTAATCTCCTGAGGTAGATTCAAAGCTTCTTGATCGGTCGATCTCAAATCGTCCACGTCGGTGAAAGGCAGTCGGCGCAGGTAGCGGTTGAAAGCGGCTTTCCTCAATGCTCCTTCCTTGGCCCTAATCTTTTCATTATATACGTGAACGACTGCGTCAGTTAACTGCATTGTGATGTTGCCACGTTCGCTGATGATGTTATACGTTGGAGCGTCATCCGAAGTGAATTTGACGAAGACCGCTTGCAGGCAGACCTGGCCTGACTCGAGAAATGGCTACAGGTCTGGCTTTTGCCGTTTAATGTGAGTAAGTGGAATGTCTTGCGAGTCGGCAGGACCCGATCTCTGAGCCGGAGGGTTTACCACCTAAATGGCATGCCATTGCGGGAGGTAGACGCCCAGCAAGACTTGGGTGTGTGTCTAACGGCTCCTCTAAAACCGTCGCTCCACTGCTCCAAGGTAGCCAATTTCGCGATGTCAGACCTTTATCTTGTCAAAGGGGCTTTCTCTACTTTCGATGAGGAATTCTTCGTTAAAGTCTTTCGGACATTTGTACGGCCACAGCTAGAGTTTGTTATTCAGGCGTGGAAACCCTGGACCTCTAAAGATCTCAGCATCCTTGAGAAAGTTCAAAGAGGGGCAACCAAACACGTAAGTTGAGCTGGCACCAATTATCTCTAGACAGACTACTGTACAGCACATTTAGTTACGTTACTTTTTTAACACTTGGGACAGTTCGTTCATCTGTCTGGTTTCAAAAACGTCGCCAATCTGAAACAAACTTCCGTAGCTGTTTGATGTTTTATTTTCCTATTTTCGACATAATGCTCTTCCTTGTAACAACTGGGGAGTTTAAACTTTCACCACCTATGTTTCCCTCACAAAAACTAAAACTAAAACTGAAACTGAAAATTCTTTTATGAAAATTGTTGACGTTTCTTGCCACGAAATTTTGCAATAATTTTTCTACATTAGCTCGTTTTACCACACCGATAAGCAATATGCATAAACAGATACAGGGTGTGACATACCTCATGAAATGTTGACTGAAATTCTGAAATGCGTTTTCGATTAGGAAGGATTACTTGGTCGCGGTAGTAATACAGATTATCTTAAGGCATACTCTTATAACATTTGGGACTCCGCAGGATGTCAGCTTTTAAATGCACTTCATTTCAATCTCCTGTAGAAAGCGTACTCTGTACAAAAGGACTACTTATGTAGCATGCATTTTTTCCATTTATTTTCGATGGTCTTGGAAATTCAAATATATTTTTTAGAAACCACAAACAAAGATATGCTTTCTTTTAGTCAATCAATAGATAATCACGTTTTCTTTATATTTTTTACTTAAGAAAGGAGTAAAATTAGGTTTTAAAAAGTTTCTAATTATGAGATTTTTTAAGACCGCGATATGTCTATTCACATAGCATTGTAACTGGCCTCACTGCTCCGCATGAAATGTACATCATGGTCCGCATCCATTGCAAAATTTTATGGACCATGTATGATATCTTTTTAATGACGTAGAAAAATACGGTATTTTCTTTACGCGGAACACATGCAACTTGTAGAGTTTAATCACTAAGCGCTAATGCAACGAATGATCAGGCTCCAAAATTTTCGGCAAAAAAAACTTTTAAAAACCTAATTATACTTCTTCCTTAAGTAAAAAATATAAAGAAGACGTGATTCTCTATTGATTGATTAAAAGAAAGCCTATTTTTGTTTGTGGTTTCTATAAAATATATTTGAATTTCCAAGACCATCGAAAATCAATGGGAAAAATGCATGCGCTTTAAGTAGTCATTTTTTTACCGAGCACGCTTTCTACAGGAGACTGAGAAGAAATACATCTAAAAGCTGACATCCTGCCGAGTCCAAAATGTTATAAGAGTATGCCTTAAGATAATCTGTATTACAACCGCGACCAAGTAATCCTTCCTAATCGAAAACGCATTTCAGACTTTCAGCCAACATTTCATGAGGTAGGTCACGTACCGTATATATTGAGCCCGCGCCACATGCCGCCACTTTTTTGTTTCACTCCGTTCGATAAACATGTCCAGACAATGTCTTTCAGCAGTCGACTATGAAAGGATACGGAAATTAGCCGCGGAAGGATTGTCGCGTGAGTCGTTAACAAGTAATTTAATACTAGTACTTTTGGTCTGTGGTGAATAATTAGTGATAGAACCGTACCCAAAATAAGCACGGTGGATTAAACGACTCAGGTAAGACGGCGATTTTGTTCGTCGTACAATAAAAAAATTATCATTATACGTCCATTAAGCCCATTCACAGGGAACATCTGCCGATGTTCTCTCTGAACATATTAAGAAACAAATGCAAGAATTTGAACTTCATCAACAGAAAGTCATAAATAAGCCCTTTTAAAATAGGAAACTTAGTAAAGCACGTTTTGTATTTGCTGGGAAATATATTGATTACCCGCCCTCAGTCTGGAAGAGCATTTACTTCTGTGATAAGGTCTTATTTTTAGACAAGCCAATGATTTCGACCCAGCTGGTCATATGCGGAAATAACTTTCCAAAAGACCATACTGTGCTAACGGCAACATTCAAGAATTTTCGAAGGTTAATGGTTTGGATGGCGATTAAATCCGGAGAGCGGCCAGGTTGGCGGTCGACTACGTACACCATCAACAGCAAGGTGCTCGTCAACATTGTGTGGGATTTTTTCGATAACAACGACATCCAGCGACGCCGGCTGGGCATAATAATTCTACGCGAAAATGAACCTGTCCATCTTTCTAAAGACGTTTGACCTAAAAAAGCACTTAAACGTAATCTGACTATTTAGACAACAGCCAGCCTGTCCGCGTGTGAATTCCATTCGATTTTCCTCCTTGTCAACAGTCCAGATCTCAATCCCTTCGAAATTCATTTCGCACTTGTCAAAAGACATTGGCATAAGGCGAATAAGAAACTGTCACGCAAATGGACAATTAACAACATACTGATCGATTGCATTTTTTACTATTTTACATTATTTTCACCATTTCATGCGCCCACCTTCATTTTGAAGTTGGCCCTATTAAAGCGAATTGTAATATGGCAATTTTCTGAAATTTAGTTTTTCAGTGGAAATTAATCATTTGAACGTTAGCAAATATTAATTTATAACCCCAACTATGCCTTCTTTTTAAGAAAAATCGTTTTTTACGGTCGTATGATTTTGGGGAACGCAGATTGGGCGAATTGCGCGTTATAGGGATTTTCTTGTGTTAACTCATGGCATTTCATGAGTTAGCACACGTACTGTAGGTGAACCATGCATTGAATTTGTTTGTTCAGGCAATATATCTTATTGAATATTAACACACACTCATTCGCATGTTCGCGGTTGAATGGGTATCGTTGGAGACATTAATGTATTAATTACACTAAAGCCAGTAATTTGAATCCTTCGATTATCATGGCCTGTGTATAACCATAAAACTTTTGATTCAGGATACTTGTTGCTGCTAACATAGAAACTGACTAATCAGGAACCAGATAGAATTGAAATTGCATAACTTTGAAAGCACAGGCCAAGAACACAGAATTAATTCAGACCCTACAACTAAACATAACCTAAAATAAGATACTTTCAGCTTTGTTTATGAAAAAATGTTAAGGCCAAAATGGATAAGGCCAAATGAAGTCACATGTTCGCTTTTTACTTTCCTCAGAAATAAACAGTTGACTTGAAGTAAGTCAGTTCAAACTAAGATCTACAGGGTCAGACCGAAATATTTATGTATAAATATTGAGGTCAAAGTCCATCAGCCATAACCGGTAACCGCGTAATATTCACTAGCACTTAGGCAGTTAGAAGTATATTTCAGGGCAAGTCAATACCATACTAACAGCACGGGTACTTGCCAAAAGTCCCTACATGTGTGTTTCACAGATAGTTTGCCCCTGCATGACACAACTGCGAGGGGTTCGACTCATCAGTGGGTCTCAGGATTCCTCGCCTGCATTCTAGTAGAGACTCTAATTTAGAAATTGCCGCTTTTTCAATGTCCTCAAAAATTAACTGCGAACTTGGAGCAGATCGGTTTATTTAAGGTCTATAGGCTC